CTCAATCAGCCTCCCACTGCAGGCTGCCGCTCGCCTGAGAGAGTCCGATGCATTTCTGCCCGGCCATCTCAGAGAGATGATGCTCGAAGCCGCGCATCTGATCTCCCAGCGGCCCCTGCTACCGGTGCCGCGACGGTGCCATGGTGAAAACAAGGTGCAATCCACATCTAGAGGAAACTAGAACGGCCTGCCTCCTCCTCTCTATCTCTATCTCACTCTCTCTCTCTCTCTCTCTCTCCTCCTGTGGGTTGTCTTTGCAGTGTGTGTGTGTGTGTGTGCGGGGCAGCGTCACCTAGGAGACGGTTCACGCCCCCTCTGTCGCCGTGGTGAAGCGTTTCCACGTGAGCGCGTGATCTGAGACGGCAGGTAAAGCGGTCAGCTCATGAATAATTAATGAGATGATGAGGGTCATAACAGGCCAGAAGCTGATCCATCAAATGTTTACCACGGTAAACATAGTTTACAGCAGAAATACCAGAAATTGCACTAATTTAATAATCAGAATTAAAATTAAGTGATTTCATATGACTGAATCAACCTACTTTAGGTTTTAGCAGGATTTGATGGGTCAGATTATAACCCGCTCTGTTTTACGTTTACTTTGTTTTAACTTAACAACTGCATGTTTTGACTTTTGACGTCTGCCGTTAGCAGTAAATTAACGTTTTATCGACGCTGAACAGTTGTGACGTGTCAGAATCTGAAATTTGGTCAGCTCATGAATAATTAATGAGATTATAATGAGGGTCATCAGAGGCTGGTGATGTTATGGAATAACAATCGGATGAATCATCAAATATTTACCAAGGTAAACATAATTTTCAGCATAAATACCAGCTCTAATTCAATTCTCATAAATAATAATAACAATAATGATTTGGATTTTACTTAAGATCAACCTAAATACCTACATTTTACCAGCATTTTAGGTCAGATCAGATACAAATGGCTGTTTTTAATTCTACTTTGTTTTAATGTAACAACTGCATGTTTTGAATTTTACTATGGTATTGTGCTGGATAGTATGTTTAATATATTTATAGAAATATAAAATATATTTAATATATTTTATTATTTTTATTTTTATATTATTAAGAATTATATATTATTTAACATTATATTATTTTTATATGATTTAGTATTTTAATTTGGTGAACAAAATATTAATAATATTTTTAGAAACTATTTATAGAATATTTAATAAACTTTTATTTCAAACCGCTTTCAAAATCAATTTTTTTTAATCCGGCTTTTACTGAGACTTTCTTCAATACTTCTGTGCTTTTAGCTCAACACAAAAAAATACGAAAAAATTAACATTCATTTAGGAAATTAAGACATTTATGACGTAGTTTAGCAGATTTATCATGAAGTCAAATCATCAAAGCCACTGACAATACCCCCCAATAATAATCAATAGCTTTAAATAAAGCAATAAGCCCCAAGAAGCCGTGGTTTACAGTGAATTTATAACAGCTAAGGGGCGTTGTTAGGCACGACGCGAAAAATATAAAATGGTTATTCCATATACGTAGTTAGGTTTCACAAAATAAAACAGAGCAAATAAAGTGTAATGATATTAATAAAAACAGTATTCTTCCACCAAACAATGTAGTTCCTCAGAAACAGTTGTGGTTGCAACAAAGTGGTTGCCAAGCAACA